AATAAGTAAATCAATTTAATTTCGACTTTTTTCCCATCAAATCCTCTCCCCTTCTTTAAAATCTAATATCTCTTCTTCAGATACTATTGCAACTTGATAATTGGTTTTCTTCAGCGTTCGGACCTTCTTGGTATCAGCATTACAGAGGTTCAATACAGCCTTCCTTTAAGATACTAACAAGCTTAACGAGTTCACGATAACTCTCAACAACAGGTTTCAAGCTCTACAGAATCTACTAAAAAAACGAGAAACTACCATGGAGAACAAATGGAAAGGGATAAGGAAGCACAAACTTCAACGTTTCACGAGGTTGTGGGTCCTAATTAGCATCATCACAAGGAACGGATCACTATGGGAACCCTGGACAAGATTCAAGAAGGGAAGAACAAGAAGACTAGCAATTAACAAAAGTGAAACACATGCAGAGAAAGTCACGGCACAAACAGACTACGCAGAAGCAAACGAGGAAGTGAAGAAAAGCATTAAAGCCGACAAGCAGAAATGCATGGGAGAACTAGCAACGACGGCGGAGAAAGCTGCAAGAGAAGGGAATATGAGACAACTATATGATACAACGAAGAAACTGGCAGGGAGATATAGTAAACCGGAGAGACCAGTCAAAGACAATCATGGAGATTCAAGAACAAAGGAAAAGATGGGCAGAATACTTCACGGAACTGCTGAATAGGCCAGTTCCATTGAATCCATCAGACATCGAAACAGCACACACTGACCTTCCTATATCTGTCACTCCACCAACGATTGAAGAAGTCAAGATGGTCATCAGACAAATCAAGAGCAGGAAAGCGGCCGGACCTGATAATATACCAGCTGAAGCACTGAAGGCAGACATTGGAGTAACTGCAAAAATGCTTCACCTTCTATTTAAGAAGATTTGGGAGAACAAACAAGTGTCAATGGACTGAAAAGAAGGATATCTCACCAAGATACCAAAGAAAGGAGATCTCAGAAAATGTGAGGATTACAGAGGCATCAGTTTGCTGTCAATGCCGGGAAAAGTTTTCAGCAGTGTTGCTGAACCAGATGAAAGACGCAGTAGACGCCCGACTTCGAGATCAACAGGCTGGATTCCATAAGGATCGGTCATGCACAGACCAAATTGCGACACTACGGATCATTGTTGAACAATCAGTTGAGAGGAATTCGTCGTTATACATCAACTTCATTGACTATGAGAAAGCGTTTAACAGTGTGGATCAGAGAACATTATGGAAACTTCTTCGACACTATGGAGTTCCTCAGAAGATTGTCAACATTATCCGGAACTCACACAACGGATTACAGTGCAAAGTCGTGCATGAAGGACAGCTGACTTATGCATTTCCAGTAAGGACCGGAGTCAGACAAGGCTGTTTACCCTACCCTCCCTCTTTCTTCTGGTGATTGACTGGATTATGAAGACTTCGACATCTGAGGGGAAGCACGGAATACAATGGACAGCTCAGAAACAATTAGACGATTTGGACTTCGCGGATGACGCAGCCCTCTCATCTCATACACACGAAAAAATACAGACGAAGACAGCAAATATAGCAGCAGCCTCTGCATCAATAGACCTCAACATACACAAAGGAAAAAGCAAGATTCTCAAATACAACACGGAGAACACCAACCCAGTCCTATTTGATGGAGAAACTCTGGAAGATATAGAAACATTCACGAATCTGGGAAGCATCAATGATGAACAAGGAGGATCGGATGCAGACGTAAAGGCGAGGATTGGCAAAGCAAGGACAGCATTTCTACAATTGAAGAACATATGGAACTCAAAACAACTATCAACTAACTTCAAAGTCAGAAACTTCAATACGAGCGTCAAGACAGTCCTACTGTATGGAGCTAAAACATGGAGAACTACTACATCCATCGTCAAGAAGGTAAAAGTATTTATAAACAGTTGTCTACGTAGGATACCCAACATCCATTGACTGGATACCATCAGCGACAGCCTTCTGTGAGAGAGGACAAACTAGCTTTCAGTTGAGGAGGAAATTAAGAAAAGAGGTAGTAGTGGGTAGGACATACATTGAGGAATTCACCAAACTGCATCACGAGGAGATCCCTAACTTGGAATCCGGGAGGGAAATCGAAAAGAGGAAGGCCAAAGAACACATTATGTTGGGAAAAAGAAGCAGATATAAAAAGGATGAACAACAACAGTAAAGGGTTGCCCAGGAATGGGTTGGATGGAGAATGTTGGTGTGCGGCCTATGTTCCTCCTTGAGGTGTAACAAGCGTCAGTAAATAACCATTGAAAACTTGGAAGAACCGGATGTTGGTGTGCACTGTCGAGATGCTTCATACTAGGGTGAGACAGCAGTTTAGTGCTTCCAGGTTTTCAATGGTGGTCTAACATTTTTCGGTTTATGATCTCAGTTAAACGTATTGTAAGTTAAATTTTAATTAGGTATAATATTTAGTTAATCAGATTTTTAATAGCATTAGGGTACTTGCAAAGGTGTAGATATGCCAACAAGAGACTAATCAATTGCAGTCCTAAATAACAATGGAAAGATACAAGTAAACAACACCAAGTGAAAGATGCAGAATGTTTGTAAGTTTTCATGAGAAACCTGTGTATCTGGGTTCTGAGTTAGCCAATGCTTATCACCAAAGCATATCTGGCGACTTGTGGAAGAGGGAAGAAAAATCTGCTTCCTGGCGGATTTCATTCCACATTAATCTTAAACGTTACCATTGAGATTTACGTAGTAATAAATTTAACTACGTAAGCTGAATAATTGAAACGACAGGACAGTAGGCATTTCTTATACTCATTTTCATTGTGATATCGATCACATATGTCTGAAAAAAGAATATAAATAGTCGGTCTCACAGTCAGTAGAATGGCTAGATAGTACAGTTACTAAACCGTTTTTAATGCAGCACTGAAATATTTTCCATCACTGAACCTATGAAGAGACTGGTTGATAAAGATATAGCACAGATAGGTTAAATTAGTAGAAATGAAACCAATCGCTATTTACTCTTCGATGGTGTGACCGTTCTCTGGTTTCTATGTAGTAATTTGTATAGTCACCCAATGGAAACCCAAGAGCATTGGACGGCCGTTTCACTGTAGTGTGGACCTCCGAAGCAATGCATATCCTCAACTTTGCATCTGAAATTCCAGCCTGTAATTTTCGGTTTTGTAAGTCAAAGCTGAAACTACAGACTACTCTGATCTAGTATCCAATAGTTTACATGTTTCACTCCAAATTATTCTAATAATTTGGTGACTTTTCTCATAGTTACAATAAGGTTTGTTTATTTTACCAGTTGTTTAAATGTGTTCAACTGGATCAATTTCGTTTATGAATTTCCTAACCTGACCGTTGCTGCTACCTTGACGTGGTGGTCGAGCTTGCCTATTGTGATGAACCAATCGAACTCTACTGGCTGGAACAATCGTTCCTCACGGTCCTACCATGCCAGGCAGGTCGGTTGAAGAGTGGTAAGATTAAAAGCAGGAAACCCAAGGTCCGAAGTCGTACTGCTGACTGTACAGAAGTGTGACGGCAATAAGGTGTTTCCTTCAGACAACCAGCATAACAGCGGTGCTGCCTTCCGACAAGGAGAGGTGGGGTTAGAAAAAGTCGACACTAAAAATGCACACCTCACCTTATCCCACGGATTTTCGTCTCCGGCGGTAAAGCCCCTTGAAGAACGGAGCCAACATATCGAATATCCCCGACAAAAAGGCCGTGCGTGATCGACCTCAAGCAGTTGTCTCTTGGGCATTGCGGTCACGCTCCTAGGTTGTTAAGACCAACTTCCTTTTCAGGTCCCTCAAGAAATACCCTTCCACGATGTTGACAGCCGAGAATTGATATTAGCCCTCATACCCGTAACTGCACACGAGACCAAGTTGAACATATTCAAAACCTTTTCACGTCCTTTTATCACCTCACACCTCTAGGGCAAACGATCCAAGTACACGGAACGTTATTCCTGGTCACATGACCGACTGATAAATTTCCTAATTTTACTGAACATGATTTCAATAAAAATATCAAGTATATTATATATATAAAAGACAAAAGAAAAAAAAAATCAAATTCTCCATTTATTTGGTAACAAATAAAATGAAATAATAAACTGAATATTCATACATATAAAAAAATTCACAAATTAATTCAACCAATTAAAATCCAAGATGGTATCATAAAAGTAATAAGCATCAATTCAATGGAGAAACAAAAAACAAACAAACTTTATCACAGACAAGTCTATAGGTAAGAAAAATAAAATAAAAAAAGGCAGTCCAGAAAAGTAAACGATGGGATATCACTTTTGTTTTGTTCGATATGATATTGAATAAAATCATTTCTGTCATAAATGATTGAATCTAATTACAATCTGTGTACAGAAACCGTATAGTTGAACTAATTGAGAGTTGAACAATAAAGAAACAAAATACAAATTAGACCATAAAGAATATTTATGTTCAGTGCTAATTACAATGAAATAAGTATATATATATATATATATATATATATATATATGATTTGCTTTTAATACCACTGGAAAGACTCTCATTCACTTTATTACATAATCATTTGTAATTTTAATAAGTTGCCAACAACAAAAAAGAAAAAGAAGGCAAAGAAAGAAGCGAAAAGGAGAAAAAAAGAAAATAAACTAGTTTCTTGATCACTGGAAAGACTTTCACTTACTTTATTACATAATGATTTGAAATTTCAACAACAAAAAGAAAAGAAGGTAAAGAAAAAGAAACTAGTTTCTTAATCACTAGGCAATTTATTACTTTCTTTCAATTGATCTACTCCATTTAATAATATCAACAAGAAAAAAAAGAAAAAAAGTAAAAAAAATAAAGAAAAAGAAAAAGGAAGCTAGTTTCTTAATTAGTGGAAAGATTATCATTCAGTATATTACATAATCATTTGTGATTTCAACAACAACAACAAAAGAAAAAAGAAAAAAATAAAGAACAAACGAGAAAAAGTTTTTTAATCACTAGGCAATTGATTATTTTCATACATTTTAATATAATTGACAAATACATCTTCTAATGTAGAATGTCTTATTGATATACTATCAATAATATTATATTTATTTAATTCATTTAATCTATTGAATAATTTCAATAACAAAAAAAGATAAAAGGGAAAAAGAAAAAAGAAACTTGTCTCTTAATCACTGAAAGACTATCGTTCACTTTATTACATAATCATTCGTAATTTCAGTTTCCAACAGGAAAAAAAAAAAAAGTTTTTTATTCACTAGGCAATTTATTTATTTGATTTAATCCATTAAATAATTTCAACAACAAAAAAGGGAAAAAAAGGATAAAGAAAAAAAGTAGAGAGAGAACTAAAGTAAATGGAAAAGTTTCTTAATCAGTGGAAAGACTATCATTCACATAATTACGTAATCATTTGTAATTTTGATAGGTTTCCAACAACAACAAAAAGTAAGGAAAAAGAAAGTAAAGAAAAAAGAAAAAAAAATTTTTCAATCACTAAGCAATTGATTATTTTCATACACATTAATATAATTCACAAATACATCTTCTAATATACAGTGTCTTATGGATATATTTTCAGTGAAATTATATTTATTTAATTGATCTAATCCATTAAATTATTTCAACAACAACAAAAAAGGGAAAAAAAAGTGTAAAGAAAAAAGTTAAGAAAAAAGAAAACTAGTTTCTTAATCACTTGAAAGACTCTCATTCACTTTATTACATAATCATTTGTAATTGTAATAATTTCTCAACAACAAAAAGAAACAAATAAAGAAAAGAAGAAGGAAACTAGTTGTGTGTTTTTTTTCAGTTACTAGGCAATTGATTATTTTCATACATTTTAATATAATTGACAAATACATCTTCTAATGTAGAATGTCTTATTGATATACTATCAATAATATTATATTTATTTAATTCATTTAATCCATGAAATAGTTTCCATAGGGGTTGTTTATTATGATTATTATTAATATTGTAATAATATTCTTGTCTTGTTAATAATGGATAACGTAATTGAAAATTAGGTAAATAATTATTTAATATAGTATGTAAATTATTTGTATAATTTAATATATTTGTATTAAATTGTATATTCATATAATAACCTATCCCATATTTTTGTTTTAATTCTAATGGACTACCATGACAACGAATTTGTCCATTAATTAATAAACCAATATGATTACATAATAATTCACATTCTTCCATATAATGTGAACTTAATAATATAGTACAATTAAATTTCATAGCTTGTTTTATATTATACCATAATAATTGTTTACCTTGTATATCCATACCATTTGATGGTTCATCTAATAAAATAATAGATGGTTTACCAATAAATGCTATACCAGTAGATAATTTACGTTTATTACCACCTGATAATGTTCCAATGATACAATCTGAATAGGATTGTAAACCAATGAATTGAATTATTTTATTGACTTGATCTATATGATTATAATAATTAGGATATTTTAAATAACTATAAAATGTTAATAATTCCTTTGGTGTCATAAATTCACATAATGCATCTTGTTGTGGACAATAACCAATATTTTCACATGCTTTCTCTTTATTTAATGTTATATCATAACCATTTAAATAAATATGTCCATTTGTAATTGTACAATAACCTGTTAACATTGAATATATAGTTGATTTACCAGCACCATTTACACCAAGTAAACCATAACATTCACCTGATTTAATAGTTAAATTTAATTGATCTACTGTTGGTTTTTTTTGTGACCAATAATGTTTACATACTGATTTTACATTAATTGCATATTTTGGTTTTAATGATGAATCTTCTATTTTCTTTTATTATAAAAAAAAGGGGAAAAAGGAACAAAAAACAAAATGAACATTACATTATTCAGGTCAATGATAATATGTCAATAATAGACGAAACAGATCATATTTAATAGTTGAATTTATGAGTCGATTAAAGATAGATCACTGATAAAAATCTAGAAACACTGCATAGACGTTACGTCATAATATTGGACTCCTCTGTAGTGCTCATCAACGACCCTGTATGTGGGACTCGAACTCGCAACCCTCAGTTTCGCGTGTGAACGCTTGACCTCTAGACCACTGAGCTTGGCGGCATCCAAAAGTGTTGATGTCTAACTTCTATTGATCACTGATCTTTCATAATGATTCACTCATTGTCTGAGGTAGATACTCGTCTCTACCGAGCACGAACTGGCCACACCTTCTCACTAGAACTCAAAGAAATCATCTTGCAGCTACTTTCTATTGAGCGCATGATGATTATTATTATTATCAGTATAGGGTTGTGGAGATTGTTAACTTAAAAATCTCACACTGATGAAAAGTCCCATACTAGAACGAAACGGCCGTCCAGTGTTTTCAGGTTCTTAATGGTGGTCTGACATTAAACGTTTCATGGTCTCAATCAAAAAAGCTTAACAATCTTTACAACCCCATACTGTTGTGAATGTGACTGTACACAGTTGATGTACATCACAAGTAAAGTCCGAATATATATTGACAACAAAAACTAGATTTTTGAATAATGAGAACTATATTCCATGTAAAACTTTTAATTTTTGTATTGGACCTGGTAACTTTACTATTGGATTGTTCACATTTCGGTTTACAAAAAATATCTAGTCATAGGTATCAAAATATTTCCGATTTTAGCACTTAAAATTACGTTTTCAGATAGATCAGGTAATGAGACGGTATCGACTACTTTAACTACGAGCTTGGTGAACAACAACCATGAAACTATCTAATAAATAAGTTCACTGAAGGTCATAGTCTCCTATTACGTATACCGTCTATTAAATTAACCCTCTGAGAAATCAAAACAAATTAAAGCGGAACTTATGAAACCTGTCAAATTCGATTATTATTATTATTATCATTATTTGAACATCTTGAGCCTACTTTAACGAAACAGTAAGACATTATTCAAACTACTTTATTTTCATGTGTTAAATCAAATGTCTAGGAAGCATCACTGTTGCTTCATAATCCCTATTATTCAATGATATACATTCATATAAAAAGAAAACATGTAAAAGTAGTAAAACTAGTAAATAGTAAATTATCTAGCGAACCATTGTCCATCATCATCTTTAGAAAAGTGATCTAACCATTTTTTTTATTTTAAAGTTTTAAGAAGATTCAACTGCATACAACGTTCGCCCCCTCCCCCTAATTTTTTTGTTTCACTTCTCTACTGAAGAATACTTGAGATAATAAGTGAGATAAGCATCTTTTTAAATATAACAGACAGTTAATTGTGTGAATTATTCTAACATAGATTATGCAATGAAAAAAATGATCTTACACGATACGCAATAAGAAATAATCGAAAGTAAAAAATAAAGTCCACATAAGTTTAGTATAAAGAAATCTTAGAAATTCTTCATCATTACCTACATAGATTAATGATATGCTGTACTGTAGCTTTTATAATCATATTGAAAGTGTTTGTAACATTTCATTTTATTATATACAAACTTTTATAGTTGAATTCATGAGTCAACTAAAGCTAAACCATTATGAAAAGATTGAAAACACTGGACAGCCGTTTCTTCCTAGTACGGAACTCCTCAGCAGTGCACATTCCTGATCACGCTCGCGAGATTCGATTCTAGGACCCAGAAATGTTTACTAAAGAACATACTAAGATCACTTAAATTAATTAATTGTATACATGAAAATGCTCCAAAATGCCCTGGTACGGTCAAGAGTGCAGAGAGTTCGCTCTCCCTCTCGAAATGCTCTCACATGGCCACGCGTATATATAGCCTCTACCAGGAAAGTCCTACTCACTGCCTTCTCACAGTGGCATTACTGTTGTTTACGAAATTGACAGGACGAAAAGCGAATGTCCGGCGATTTAACCAGCTCGGTGGACATGGAAAGTTCACCTAGGGGAGTTGGAAAACCCTGATTCCAAACCAATGGTGCACATAGAATCCAGTATCCTGACACAACAAATGGCGTATGAACCAATCGTTGGTCACCGGCTACCATGAGAGTGCATCTTCTCTCGATGCTCCACTGTCTTGCAGATCAGACCTTTAGGCCAAAGACTCCGAGTGTGGCTTCCTAAGAAAACCACGTGCTTCAGTCTGAGCACCTGGGCAGTATCACAGCCCTCAAGCAAATCGAAAGAGATTTGTATGGCGCATATGTATTTGGTGCCCCCTTTGTACCAATATTTATATATTTTAATAAAATAAACTTATGAAAATCAAAGATGAAATTATTTACATAACACATGCACACACACACATACACAACTCACTTGTATATTTGATTCCAAATCTGTATAATGTATTCCAACATGTGTATTACCTACACCATTCCACCATTTAAATTTATTTCTTTTCCAATGTATTATTTGTATAATATAAAATTGTTTTTCCAATAATAATACAATAATAAATAATAATATAGAATGTAATAATAAACAAGCCATATCAATTTTTAATATATTCCATAATGATATATTATCTTTATATGGTATACCAAGTTTATGAAAGAAATCTCTTAATGCTATTGTAAAAAAACTACCACTTAAACAATAATGCGGTGATATACGTAACCATATATTAATAAATTGACTAGTTGTTGAAGTTGTCGTAGTTGAGGAGGCTAATGATGATGATGATGATGTTTGATAATTTAAACTATCCATTGTAAGTATTTCAAGAAAGAATCGTACAAATGTTGTCATAACACTAATAACTAAATTTAAACCACACATTAATACAAATGCTGTACTAGATGATTTAAATAAAAAACTTGCCAAATATATAAGTGATATCATTGCTAAACCATATAAATAGATAGTTAATATAAATGGATATATTGTATCCGAGTGTATATAAGCCGATTTACCATGGATAATAATAATAATAATACATAAGGTTGATGATAATAAATAAGTTACATAATCATATAGATAATTAATAAACCAATAAATTGATGGTAATAAACCAGATAATAATTGTAAATGTTTTGAATTATTATTACGTTCATATACAGGTAAACTAATAAAACTAGCTGGAATAAATGATAATGCTAATATAAGAAATAATGATAATAAATAATCTGCTTTAATATCATCATTAATTTTATTATATTCTATTGTATCTATATAAGGTAATGGATGGGTAGCAACTATAATACCAGAATTTGTTGGACTAATCATACTATTATGATAATCATTGTTCAATGTTAAATGGTTTTGTTTATTTAATTTGATCATACTATTTGATAATAATAAACGATATTGATAATTATGTAATAAATTTAAATAAGCTACCGGTGTTATATAACCACGATTATCATACCATATACGTATTATTTTCAATGGTGGTAAAATTAAATTTAAATCATCATTTAAAAATTGTTGCCATAGTTTAGATTGTTTTAATTCAATTGAATAATTAGTTAATTTATATAATAAATTATATAATTGTTTATTTAATTGATAATTTTCATTAAATTTTAATTCAATACCACCATACATTGATTTAAATAATAATTTTGAATGATTTAATAAATAATTTGATATATCTATATTACTTAAATTAAGTAGTATATCATTAGTAGCTAATGGATAACATGGATATTTATTATTAAATGAATATAATTCACAATGTTTGTTGTAATCATGTTTGTTTAAATTGAATTGACCATTTGTTTGTATTAAACAATCTGAATTTATTTTTGGTTGAAATTTATATAATAGTGATGAAATACAACCAATACCAGTTAAACTAAATGGATTATTTATTGTATTTAAATAAGATTGAAATGAATAATTCTCCTTTTCTTCTCCTTCATGAATGTTACTATTATTAGTAGTATAGAAATGTACAAATCCATTACGGATATGAGTAGTTTTCATAATCCAATGATGTATATCCATTTTAGGTTGGATATTAATTGGTTTAAAATATTCTAAAAATCCAATACCAATTAATAATAATAAACATGGTAATATAAATTCAATAAACCATGATAATTTATTACGTTTTAAATGAATATAACGTTTATAAGCCATAGCTTTCATCATATTTATAAGAGATGGTTTCTTTTTTAAGTTAGGATGATGATGATGATGATTATATTCAATAGGATCATTATCATAATCTTCTACATTATCATTATTAGTAGTATTATGAGTAGTATGATTATAATCATTAAAATTATTTATCATTGTTTTCTGATTATCATTAGTTATTGTAAGAAATACATCTTCTAATGATGAATTAGTAATTTCATAATGTTTAATATGATATAATTGTTGAAATTCATTATTATCTAATTGTTGAAATAATGTTGTAAATTTACCATTTAATGCATCAGAAGTTGGTAAATAAATAATTAATTTGTTCAGATTATGATTTAATAGACGTGCATCATTGACATGGAGTTGTATAGCTTTTAATAATTTCATAGTATTATCATTATGATCAGATGAAGTATTCAGATTTGATGAATCAATTTCTAATGATAAATGATATCCTGAACCATAAGCTGATTTTAATGATAAACTAGAACCGGAACATAATACTTTACCTTCAGATATAATTGATATTTGATCAGCTAATAAATCACTTTCATACATATGATGTGAACTTAATATAATTGTACGTCCTTTACGTAATATTTTTAATAAATCCCATACAGCACGTCGTGAAAATGGATCTAATGATGCTGTTGGTTCATCAAGTAATATTACTGATGAATTGCCTAAAAAGGCTAAAAATAATGATAATTTTCTACGTTGTCCACCAGAGAGTGTAGATGTTTTTTCATTACGTTTATCAATTAATCCAAGTTTATGTAAATAATCATCTAATTTTTGATTGATACTTATACGACTCATTCCTTTTAATGTACCAAATAAATGTATATGTTCAGCAACTGTTAATGTATCATATAATATATCATATTGTGGACAATATCCTAATACTTTATGTAAAACATCTAAACGTTTATTGGTTACTTCACCATGCATAATAATTTTACCTTGTGTAGGTTGTAATATACCAACTAGAATAGAAAGTAAAGTTGTTTTCCCAGCACCATTACGTCCCAATATTACAGTAATTTGATCTTCATAAAAATTCATATTAATATTACATAATGCTATACGTTTTGATGGTTGATATATTTTAGTTAAATTATTAACAATTACAGATGGTGATAACATAATTGGATAATGATTATTAGTAGAATTTAATAAATTTTGTCTTTCTGTTTGAAATGAATTGACTAATAATAATTGTGATGTATTCACAGATATATCTAATTGATAACTACCACTACTTATTTTACGTTTTTTTCTTTTTTTTTTGTTTATTCCATTTATGGATGTTGTTGATTGATTGAAAATAGAAATTTTTTCCAATTTATACATTAATATATGATAATATTTGATTATGAATGGTATACCCCAAAATGTTAATATACATAATAGAATTGTACCAATCCATAAGAATATTAATGAAGTACCTAATGATAATATACTATTTAAATTATCTCTATACCATATATTTGACCATTGTACACCAGTACCTTGTAATTCTAAACGATTTATAAATATCCATATTAATGAATAACTTACTTGTGGTATTATACAAAATGGTATTAATGATAAATCATTAGGTAATTCATTATATCTTAATAATACAGATGCTGGCATAAATAATAAAAAATAAATAATACCTGATAGAATAGATGCAATAGTTGAACGTACTTTTAATAATGTAAATAAGATACAATATATAAGACATGATATTATATAATTTAATAAAATAAAATATATTAATGTAATATTACTTAATGGTATAATATTACAATATTTTAATATAAATACAATAATTAATGATAAAATAGACATTATTATAAATGATATTGTTATCCATGCTAACCAATTCATTGATAAATCAATACCAAATATTGATAAATAATCAATTAATCGATTATCTTTTTCATCTATCATATATTTTACAGTTAATATAATTGATATTATCCAACAAAGAATCATTAATTGGGGTAATAAAAATATGATATTAACTAATAATGAATCAAAATAATATGAACCAGTAGGAAACATTTTCATTTCTATACCAATATTATGTAATAATTGATTATATATATTAGTTATATTAAATTTATATGATGTAATATATAAAAATGATTGAATTAATTGTTCTTGTATATCAATAAAACCACTAGTAAAATATTTCATATCATTTTGTGGATCACGATTTGGCATTGGGATAGATAATTTTGATCGTATATAATGATTAATATTATTTGTTTCATATATAAATAATGGATTATTACGTAATGTAATAGATAATATATTAGGAGAATTTATAATTTGATCTAACATACTACTATTATTAGTAGTAATATCAGTAGTATGATTTAAATAATTCGGTATTTGATTAAATATAATACCAGTCGGTGATGATAATAAATTATTTTGTTGTTTTATCATATAATTATAAAAATCATTATAATTATGAAATGGTATAAATTTTTGATCAATTTGTATACAATTATTTAATAAATCATAGAATAAATTAATAAAAAAATCAATAATATTGATTATTAATTTCCAATTAAAATAATCATTATTATTAATATTATTATTATTGATTTTTTTATTATTATTTTGTTGTAAAAAATTTAAAAAATAATTACATAATAATTGTATTTCATTTGGAATAATGCCAAATTTATTTTCTTTACATTGTTTTAATTGATTTTTGAATTTTATTAAATTTATTTGATTATTAATATTATTATTATTATGATTACGTAATAATAGATTTAGTAACCATGGTCGTAATTTATTAAAATAATGATTCATTAATTGACGAATATTATTTAATAAACGTGTATATTTACCCATATTATAAATAATTTCATCAGTAAATTGATTAGATGGATAATATGCTATAGTACCAAATAGAAAATAACGTAAACGACCCATTGTTATAAGAAATGGATTTGAATTTAATAAATGTTTAATAATTGGACATAAATTAAGATGTGGTAATGATTTTTCAGTGAACAGTTTGTCAGCATTTGATAGATCAAAAAGATTATTAAATTGAGATCTTAAATGATCAACTATAGGTATATTATTATTATTATTATTAGATGATTTGAAAGTATCTTGTTCCATTTTATTTTCTTTTAATGCAATGAAAAATCGACCTAAATCATTTTCATTTGCTGGTGAACCACAAATGAATTGTGACATATATTCTAATGATTGAATACTAGAAATATTTTTAAAGATTAAAAGATAATCATTTATCCATGTTGTTAGATGATTAGCAGAATTTTTTAAGCGTGTTAACTTTAAACCAAGGGATATCCAATCAATGAATTCTTCTGTTTCAAATGTATCTGGTTCATTTAACCTATAAGTAAAATAAAATAAAGAAAACCATGAACAGTTGCTTAGGTGTAACAATCTTGTTATATCCCGATAACAATAGTGAATGGTAACTTTGGGATCCATTTATGCACCAATATTATGCATATAATTTTTATCGTACATTTAATAAATAATTAAACTATTCATATTCATGTTCTTTTCATTGTGAGCTTTATTTCGACCCTTAGACTATTATTGTACGATTTATCATTCCTGAGTTATACCCAGTCTACTGATTACTTTTCCTCCTATTCACAGCCACATTTGGCTAACTCTTCTACAAATGTTATTTTCTATTTTATTGGTACGATGTGGTCAGTTTGTTTGTTATATAAACTCAGTATGTTTGAAATACAATAAGTCACAGAGGCTGTTATTGGTGCTCTGGACTTGACTGGCTGGACTAGGCAGAAAGCAGGACCGATAAGTACTCAAGACTGCTCGTACGGTTTTAGTGTGTCACTGTTCCAGTCGATAACTTGCTGCTCTCTGATTGACAGTTTTATCACGTCCAACGTTAGCAAGGCATCCATTAAGCCACAAGATATAACAAATCCGAATTACATCATTCATATAAATGAAACTAAGCATTATAAATAAGTAATATATTTGCAATATCCCAATAAGTAGAAAAATTAGTTTGCCTGACGTTTCGTGACTCGGTTTAAACCACTTTTTTAGGGAATAAATATCAAAATTAGAATGAATCCAATTTTAAATGGTGCAACGGATCGGATTGATTTTAATGTGGTTATCTATTCTCTGAAAAAATGGCTTACACCTAGTCAAGAAACGTCAGACAAACTAATCTTTCTACTCATTGGGATATTGAAAATATATTTATTTATTAATAACAATATACCCAATGCTAAATTTATTCAAAATTATCAATTCAAAACTTGGTTACGGTATCCAGAAACTAAACATCATATATAACACCAAGATTTCTAAGTCATTCAATGTTTCATTTATGGTTACTTACTTACTTACTTACGCCTGTTACCCCTCGTCGAGGAGCATAGGCCGCTCACCAGCATTCTCCATTCAACTCTGTCCTGAGCCTTCCTTTCCAGTTCTTTCCAGTTACTATTCAGCCTTTTCATATCGGCTTCTATTTCCCGGCGTAGTGTGTTCTTTGGCCTTCCTCTTTTCCGCTTCCCCTCCGGATTCCAAGTTAGGGATTGAGTCGTGATGCACATTGGTGATTTCCTTAATGTATGTCCGATTCACTTCCAACGTCTTTTTCTAATTTCCTCTTCAGCTGGAAGCTGCTTTGTCCTTTCCCATAAAACGCTGTTGCTGATAGTATCCGGCCAATGGATGTTGAGTATTTTACGTAGACAACTGTTTATAAATACTTGTACCTTCTTGATGATGGTCGTAGTAGCTCTCCACGTTTCAACTCCATACAGTAGGACTGCCTTGACGTTCGTATTAAAGATTCTGACCTTGAAATTGGTTGAGAGTTGTTTTGAGTTCCATATGTTCTTCAATTGTAAAAATGCTGCTCTTGCTTTACCAATTCTCGCCTTTACATCTGCATCCGATCCTCCTTGATTATCAACGATACTCCCCAGGTACTTGAATGTTTCCACCTCTTCCAGAGTTTCGCCATCAAGTGTGATTGTGTTGGTGTTCTCTGTGTTGAATTTGAGTATCTTGATTTTTCCCTAGTGTATGTTGATGTCTACTGATGCAGAGGCTGTTGCTGCACTAGTTGTCTTCATCTACTTTTGTTAGTGTGTATGAGAGAGAAGGGTCAGGTCATCTGCGAAGTCCAAATCATCTAATTGATTCTGAGCTGTCCGTTGTATTCCGTATTTCCCTTCAGATGTCGAATTCTTCATAATCCAGTCAATTACTAGGAGGGAGAGGAAGGGGGAGAGTAGACAGCCTTGTCTGACTCCGGTCCTTACTGGAAATGCATCTGTCAGCTGCCCTCTATGCATGACTTTGCACTTTAGTCCATCGTATGAGTTTTGGATAATGTTGACAATCTTTTCAGGAACTCCATAGTGTCGAAGAAGTTTCCATAATGTTCTCCTGTCCACGCTGTCAAACGCCTTCTCATAGTCAATGAAGTTGACGTATAGTGATGAGTTCCATTCAACTGATTGTTCAATGATGATCCGTAGTGTCACAATCTGGTCTGTGCACGACCGATCCTTACGGAATCCAACCTGTTGATCCCTAAGTTCGGCGTCTACTGCATCTTTCATCCGATTCAGCAGCACTCTGTTGAAGACTTTTCCTGATACTGATAACAAACAGATGCCTTTGTAGTTCTCACATTTGCTCAGATCTCCTTTCTTTGGTATCTTGATGAGATATCCTTCTTTCCAGTCCGTTGGCACTTGTTTCTCTTCCCAAATCTTCTTGAATAGAAGGTGAAGCATGTTTGCAGTTATTTCAATGTCTGACTTCATTGTTTCTGCTGGTATATTGTCAGGTCCTGCCGCTTTCCCACTTTTGATTTGTCTGATGGCCATCTTGACTTCTTCGATCGTTGGTAGAGTGACATCTATTGGAAGGTCTGTGTGGGCTGCTTCGATGTTCGGTGGATTCAATGGGCTGGTCTATTCAGCAGTTCCTTAAAGTATTCTGCCCATCTTTTCCTCTGTTCTTGAATCTCAGTGATTGTCTTTCCTTCTTTGTCCTTGACTGGTCTCTCTGGTTTGCTATATCTCCCTGCCAATTTCTTCGTTGTATCATATAGTTGTTTCATATTCCCTTCTCTTGCAGCTTTTTCCGCCGCCGTTGCTAGTTCTCCCATGTATTTCTGCTTGTCGGCTTTAATGCTTTTCTTCACTTCCCTGTTTGCTTCTGCGTAGTCTGCTTGTGCTTTGACATTCTCTGCTCGTGTTCGGCTCTTGTTAATTGCTAGTTTCTTGTTCTTCCTTTCTTGAATTTTGTCTAAGGTTCCCATAGAGATCCATTCCTTGTGATGATGCTTGTTAGGACCAAGAACCTCCTGACACGTTGAAGTTAGTGCTTCTTTAATCCCTTTCCAGTTGTCCTTCAAAGTAGTTTCTTGTTCATTCAGTAGATCCTGTAGAGCTTGGAACCTGTTGTTGAGAGTTATCTTGAATTCGTGGAGCTTGTCAGTATCTCGAAGGAAGGCTATATTGAACCTTTGTAGTGCTGTTTGTCCAGTTGTCCAGTCTTTCTTTAGCTTCAGTCTCATCTTGGCCACAACCAGGTGGTGATCTGAAGCTATGTCAGCTCCTCTCCGGGTTTTCACATCTTCCATTGATCTTCGGAATTTTTTGTTGATACAGATGTGATCTATCTGGTTCTCTGTGGTTTGGTCCGGTGAGATCCATGTAGCTTTGTGTATGCGCTTGTGTGGGAATATTGTGCCGCCTATAACCAATTTGTTGAAAGCACATAGGTTTGCAAGTCTCTCCCCATTTTCATTTCTCTCTCTTAATCCATGTCGTCCAATTACATCTTCATATCCTGTGTTGTCCATTCCAACTTTAGCATTTAAATCTCCCATCAGGATTGTGAGGTCCTTTCGTGAGCACTTCGCTTTAATTGATTGCAGCCTTTCATAGAACTGATCTTTATCATCGTCGTTGCTATCATTGGTGGGTGCATAACATTGGATAACGTTCATTGTGATCCCTTGCTTCTTTGTTCTGAATGATGCTTTGATTATCCTGGGTCCATGAGATTCCCATCCCACAAGTGCATTTCGTGCTTCTTTGGACAGCATTAGAGCAACTCCCTGAGTGTGTGGAGCGTTTTCCCCCAAATGCCCTGGTACGGCCAAGAGTGGGGAGAGTCACCTCTCCCTCTCGAGATGCTCTCATATGGCCAGCGAATATATAGCCTCTCCCAGGGAAGTCCTACTCACTGCCTTCTCGTGGCACCGGTGTTGTTTACGAAAGTGAGAGGACGAAAAGCGAATGTCCGGCGCTTTGACCGGGTTGGTGGACATGGAGGGTCCACCTAGGGGAGTTGGAAAACCCTGATTCCAAACTAGTGGTGCACATGGGCTCCAGTATCCTGAGGGAACAAATGGCGTACGAATCAGCCGTTGATCACCGACTACCATGGGACTGCATCTCCTCACGATGCTCCACTGCCTAGTGGATCAGACATTCAGGTCAAAGGCTTGGGGTGTGGCCTCCTAAGAAAACCACCTGCTTCAGTCTAGGCACCTGGGCAGTATCTCAGCCCTCACACAAATCGAATGAGATTTGTGAGGCGCATATTTATCTGGTGCTTCCTTGTACCAATATTTATGTGTTTAAATAAAATAAAATAAAAGTTGTATCTCCTCATTTCCATTGCTTTTTGGCTGGTCTTTCCTGTCTCCCACATTGTCCGGACGTTCCATGTACCTATAAAGAGTGTTGCTCTGGTTGTTAGAAGGTGCATCGGTCTCGTGACTTCCGAAGAATTTCGGCTTTCATCATGAGACGTCATAATTATTCCTTCAACTCTCAGGGCAGAGTATAAATGGTTTGAATTATTTCTTCTGGTTAGCGTTTTTTAGAGAGTTAGCTTTTCTACGGGATGGGGTCGCTAACCCCATGCTCAACCCTCCTTCTTTACCCGGGCTTGGGACCGGCAGTAACTCTATAAGAGCTACAGGCGGAGTTTTCATTTTGATTATCATAGATTAAAAATACCATCCATTCCATTTTAGTTAACTCGACTTTTATTAGTGACAAAGAAACTAAATATTACTGAAATTACAAGAAGGGGATACTGATTCCTAGTTTTCATTTAGGTTGTTGCAAAGGTCGACTACGAATCGGTAAACATGAATACATGATTACCGATTACAGGTACGGAAGGAAATTTATACTAGTTGAAATACTTGACATATATAAGACATTGATGGCAATTTAAGTAGTATGACATTTCTAATAATGATATGAGTGCGGTTATCTTTAACTCTTTTAAATATGTTGCTAGATCATATCCACCAATGTTATATCCTAATTACAATCAATGTTTCATTAACCACAA